GAGGAAGGCAAAAAAAAAAAAACCAGGAAAGCATGATCCAATTTGCTCCTGCTGGGATCGTATATTCCCTGGATCAACTTTACCTATAAATGTTAGTATCCAGTTATATTCTGTGTATCTAGGAAATAATCCAGGCCTTTTTGAAGCAAAAAAAAAAAAAAAAAATTATATATATATATATATATATGAATGAATGTACATGCATAGACAGATAGCAAGCTGGTAACAGACCTCCATTTACATATTTAAAGTAAAATCCACATAAATGAAGAGAGGATCATGGAAAGAATGGCCTAACGTATACAGATGCATGCCCTTGCATGTATGCACATATAGATTGGACATATATGTTGGATGTGTGACATGTCTATATATCCTTGCTAAAATTATGAACAGATAAATTGAAGGGTATTCATTGGGCTTTTTATTATTGTAATATTTTGTATCTTCTCTGTTGGACGTGTCATCTGTTGCTGGGATCCAATAAGTGCTACACTCTCTGGAAAAGAATGGAACTTACTTGAAGACGGTACTTGAAGAGATTTCCGCATCTGTGCACTTATGTTTCCACAATCATAATGATAACAATAATAATAATTTATCTATTGTTTATTATCAAATTACAACAGAGAACAGGTCCATCTTCTAAGAACACTAGCAAAAAAAAACGGTAGTCTTACAAAATGGGTGGGGTTATATGGTGTGCTCTGGGGGCAGCTATAGCAAGTTTTTTTTGCCAGTGTTCAATCAGCTGAAGGTAGCTGCATACAGTCCATTGTCAATAAATACAAGTCCTGTGTCCTGTACAATTAAAGGAGAAGTAGGGCCAAAGCTCTTTTAGTCCTACTTCACCTGTGAACTTCCCGGGACCCGTTTTCAGCCGACAGCAGGCTCTAGATCGATCCCAGCTTTAATGTCGGGATCCACCCAGATGCCTAACCAGCAACTGGCTTAGCCTCTCTGTGAGCTGCTGAGTGCCTGAGCCAGCCATCCCAGCCCCCACAGCCCAGCACTCCAGTGAGCACTAGAGGGGAACAGCACAGAGAGCTCTGCTCCCTGAAGACTGAGAACTGAGCGGTCTTTGATCACTCGGTCCTCTGTCTTAGAGGCGGCAGGGGAAAAATGCAGCATCGGACCAATGCTGCATCCACCGAGGTGAGTATAATTGTTTTTTTTCAATTTCCAAACTTCTAATGTAACATTTCTTTTAGTCCTGACTTTTAAGAAAGATCTTTTTAACATTTCTTTTAGTCTTAACCATAATAAATAAATTATAAATTCAAAACCACTATAATCCTTTTAATACCAGAGGTCATTGATGCCTAGGCCAAATGCAGGACAGTAATTTTTAAGGACATAAAAGGTTTACATTTCTTAACCTCCTGGAGCCAGCTTGGCCCCTGCCCACCTCAGACCCATATCACCACACCTGGCTATATTCTTGAAATACTAGTTGCCTAGCTGTACCTGGCTACAGTACTTCTGAGTTATAGAACCAGAACAAGCATGCATCAAATGAAAGTTTGAGAAAAGTCAGACTTATAGCATTCTAACAAAAGAGATCAGCAATGGCAGGCTTCATACTCTTCTTAGGATAGAATCACTTTAAATTGTATTTCCACAGCTAAATTGGGATAATACCTACTTTATATTTGTTACATTTTCTCATTCACATAAGATAACATAAAAAACATTATATTTTAAAATTGCTACCTACCATTTCAGATGTTCTTTTCTGATAACTAGAATACTGAAAAATCCTTATTAGGTTTCTTTAGCTGACCATATATGGATGGAAATTCATCTGGTTCAGCAGCGACTGGCCACATTCTGATCCATGTATGGGCTGGGCAGGAAGCATCCAGTCACATTTTCCCTGCTCGATCAGCGGCACCAGCTAGAGCCTACAGGAAGTCTCCCCACTGTCAGAATACAAAGACTCAGTGGGAAATATTCTCAGATCCGCATTGAGTGTGTGGATGGGGGAACCAAGTCTTTTTTTTTTTGTTCAGCCAGCTTGTCTTTAAGCTGCCTTTTGTTTTTGTGGGGGTTGAGGAAATTTATTTGCTATTATTATATAAATTATGTTAGTATGTTAATGAGAGGTAAATCAGCCAATCCTAAGTCCTTCTATTAGTACAGACGCACTCTAAACTTTTTCAGAAATGCTTGCAGTATGCTATAACGCCTTGTCCTAAAAAATATCTAAAAGATAAAAAACATTAAAAAAAAATTATTTTGGGTCTGCTGCGTGAAGGGGAACACATAACAAAACTTAGGCGTGGTTTTTCTTAAATTTAACTGCAAAACTAGAAATACACCCTGTTCCGAATTATTATGCAAATTCTATTTAAGTGTCAAAAAGATTAAATATTTTGTTTAACTCATGGATGGCATTGTGTCTCAGGGCTCTTTTGATCACTGAAAACAATCTCGGACACCTGTGATAATTAGATTGGCAGGTGAGCCCAATTTAAGGAAAAACTACTAAAGGACAGTGTTCCACATTATTAAGCAGAGCACCATTTTCAAGCAATATGGGGAAGAAAAAGGATCACTCTGCTGCCAAAAAGATTGAAATAGTTCAATGCCTTGAACGAGGTATGAAACAATGAGATATTTCATGTAAACGTCAGCGTGATCATCGCACTATTAAGAGATTTGTGGCTGATTCAGAGCACAGACGGTTTTGTGCAGATAAAGGCACATTGAGGAAGATTTCTGCCAGATCCATGCATCAGATCAAGAGAGCAGCTGCTAAAATACCATTACATAGCAGCAAACAGATATTTGAAGCTGCTGGTGCCTCTGGAGTCCCACGGACATCAAGGTGTAGAGTCCTCCAGAGTCTGCCAACTGTGCATAAACCTTCTATTCGGCCACCACTAACCAATGCTCACAAGCAGAAACGGCTGCATTGGGCAGAAAAATACATGAAGACTAATTTTCAAACAGTCCAGTTTACTGATGAGTGCCGTGCAACCCTGGATGGTCCAGATGGATGGAGTAGTGGATGGTTGGTGGACGGCCACCCTGTTCCAACAAGGCTGCAACGTCAGCAAGGCGGTGGTGGAGTCATGTTTTGGGTCGGAATCATGGGAACAGAGCTGGTCGGCCCCTTTAGGGTCCCTGAAGGTGTAAAGATGACCTCTGCAAAGTATGTGGAGTTTATGACTGACCACTTTCTTCCCTGGTACAGAAGGAAGAACTATGCTTTCCGTAATAAAATCATCTTCATGCATGACAATGCACCATCTCATGCTGCAAAGAATACCTCTGCATCAATGGCTGCTATGGGGATAAAAGGAGAGAAAGTCATGGTGTGGCCTCCATCCTCTCCTGACCTCAATCCTATTAAGAACCTTTGGAGCATCCTCAAGCAAAAGATCTATGAGGGTGGGAGGAAGTTTACATCCAAACAGCAGCTCTGGGAGGCTATTCTGACATCTTGCAAACAAATTCAAGCAGAAACTGTCCAAAAACTCACAAGTTCAATGGATGCAAGACTTGTGAAGCTGCTATCAAATAAGGGGTCCTATGTTAAAATGTAACGTGACCTGTTAAAATGTTTAAAAAGTTAAAATGCTGTTAAACGTTTGATTGAAATAGCTTTTGATTTCAGTAAATATGCTGCAAACACAACAAATGACAATTTTCAGTTCTTTACAACCTATAAAGTGTTTTTTAAACTTACTGTGCGTAATAATTTGGAAATTTGCATTGTAAGTTTTTTATGTTTAAAAAAAAATACTGTTATCAGGAGGTTTGTTCAATAAAATTTGAATTGTGCTCTTAATAGTTGATAACATGAGAATAATGCTGACTGTTATTTACATCAATTATTTAGGTAAATGAGAAAAATATAATTTGCATAATAATTTGGAACAGGGTGTACATTTTAGGCTGGTTACTTCTTTGAATTTATAAAAAACACACAAACATGCTAGAGAAACGCAAATTGTTCCATACACCAGAATGATCTGATAGATACAGTATAGGTCTGACACACCAAGCCTACAGAATGGTATCCCCATGATGAACATGCAGTTTTCTTCCTCACCTATTTTGATACAAGCTTATATGTTCTAGGGTTTGCTTCTCTTTCCTCCTGAACCGGCAAAAAAAGTCTTTGAACCTTTTCATCATGGTCACTGGATCAGGACAGGAATGAGGTTCTGATTTGCTACTACCGTGGGTTCACAGCAAAACAAGAAGGTTCAAGATTTTCAGTCTAAGACTCAGTCCACTGAGAAAACTGTAGGCACTGCTTGGCCTTTGAACGATTGCCAAAAGGCTTGTATGGACTGATAACAGGACTAAGCCAGCCCAATCACTATAATAGGAAGCCATAATTTCAGTGTATTGGAAGCTGCTGTAAGAAGAGGATAGGAAAAGCTGACAAATTGCATAGAGAAGGATAAGGGTCAGGTAGATAACTATGCTTTAATTATGTCTGCTAGTTCTTAGGGAAATTAGCCCATGTGCTGCCTTCTTTTTGCTCTTATTACTGGGGACTTTTTTGTCTTACTATTGTTGGTGGCTGATTTAGGGGCAGCGGTCACTGGCAGCTTCTGTGTGGTCCAGAGCAAATCTTTTTATTTTTTTACTTCTGCAAAGCTTCTTTTTGTTTCTTTTGGGGGGTTCAATTTATTTAAGGGATATTTTGGCTTTGTTTTATGTTGCTAGGGCCTTTTTTTTTAGGTTTGGGGTGATCATAGCACAGTATTAACTTGCTGTTGACCAAAAGCCAGCAAGGGACATGGAAAAGCAAGCTAATTGCCAAGCAAATTGCACATTGTCCAGCCTAGCACTCCAGGTTGAAGAGAGTGAGTGAACTGTGATCCCTCAACATATGAATGCTCCACCATTGCAAAAAAGCAGTGTGCATCTAAACTACCTCACATTATATCAGTGACATTCACCACACTGGACGTACTATCCCGATCTACCATAGCTCTTTAAAAAAAAAAAAAAATTTTGGGGCCAATTTTCAGCTTTTCAAGCGCTGTCACATTTTGAATGACAAAAAAAAACATGTTTTTTCTTAGTTTTTGTTATAAAATTTTGTAAATAAGTGATTTTTTCTGATGTGCGCTAATGAGGCTGTAGTGATGGGCAATGATAGGCTGCACTGATGGACACTGATGGGTGGCACTGATGGGCACTGATGAGGAGGCACTGGTAGGTGGCACTGATGGGCATTGACAGGCATCACTGATGAACACTGAAATGCAGCACTCATATATGGCACTGATAGGTGGCACTGACTGGCACTGATAGGCGACACTGACTGGCACTGTTAGGTGGCACTGACTGGCACTGTTAGGCGGCACTGATAGGCGGCACTGACTTGCACTGATAGGTGGCACTAATTGGCAGCACTGATATGTGGCACTGACTGGCATTGATAGGTGGCACTGACTGGCACTGAAGGGTGACACTGAAAGGCAGCTCAGATGGGCACTGATATGTGGCATTGATGTGCACTGGTAGGCACTAAAATGTGGCACTGATGGGCACTGGCAGGTGGCATGGATGAGCACTGACAGCTGGCACTTATGGACACTGACTGCTGGGCACTGCTGGGGCTACACAGATCATCAGGGCACACTGATCATCAGTGGTGATCAGTGTACAAGTCCCCTCTGAGGAATGCCGATTACCGGCTCTCCTCTCCTCATGAGCTGTCAGCGTGATAACCGGCATTTCCCTGTTTACATGTGATCAGCTGTGATTGGACACAGATGATCACATGACCGAGCCGACATCTTCAGCTCTTTCCGTTGATCGGTGATCCACTGTGTCTGAGGGACACAGCGCACCGCCGATCGCCGTGCTGCGCACTCCCGGAGCCACACATGCGCGGTTAGAATGGGAGGACGTCATATGACGTCCTTCCAGAACGAGAGAACCGCCTTGTACCCGTCATTGTACTATATGGCGGGCGGGAGGCGGTTAAATACTCCAGGCAGCTGCACTCTATATGTTATTCTGTTATACTCCAGACAACTGCATTTGGTACAGTATGCGATTCATGTGACATAGTACTAGTTTGTAAAGATCCTCCTGCGCTGCTAATACACTTACTTTCTTCTATTTAAGCAGGCCAAAATACCTATGTAACTCACACACCATCCACAGACTGATGTACCTAATGATTTACCCTGTTACAGTGCCGTACCCAGTTGGGTAAAAAAAATACATGCTGCTACACACTGTGCCCTGCTTTATATGTTACATATATTGGATCACTGCACTCTGAATGCTTTATTTTACATTACATACTACAATCTATGCTTTTCTATATATTACATATACAAAACTGTACACTGAGCTGATACCTTCCTCTGAACGATTAAATTTGTACATTGTGTTGTACATTTACTCTAGAAATTTTTTGGAATGCAGAATTTCTTCCTGTTCAGCCAACCGGCACATTTTTAGTTATCAATGAAAGGAAATGCTTCTAGCATTCTGACAAATTGAAATATACTAGCTGCTAACAAGATTGTCCACTAAAACAATTTTGAGATGAATAGTGGATTGTTTCACCAGCCATTGCATACGGTCTAACATTCCAAACAACTATTTCCTTGCAGCTACAAATAATGACAAAATGGTTATTTTAATTGTAGTCTTTAGGTTGTTTATTGAAAAGCAACACGTTATGTAAACAACAAGTAAGAATAACTTCCTTAGGGGCACTTTCTTTCTTAATTTTAATGTAGCTATAAATATTATAAATCACTACTAAATGGACGCAAACTGCAATCTCCAGTTATAACAGTGGCTAGAGCTAACAGGAGTTGGCTACCTAATAATAATAATAATAACAACAATAATAAAAATAATAACAGTAATAAGTGATTAGTCCCGAAAATAGGCAACACAGACAATGCTGAATAGTAAAAAAAAATGAAAAAAAAGCATAAAATTAAAACTTCACTTATTCCATAAATTCACCACTGTGGTTCCATCTGACAGCCCCTATGTCACTGCTGTGTCATGTGGTTTTTAAAAATCTTTTAAAATGGTGACAGTTGATTTAAACATTCTAATGGAGTGGACCTGACCATTTAAACTTTTAAACTGGCTACAGAAGACAATTTCAGTGCATCCTTTTAATTGGTAATACAGTATATAGGTTTTTTTCCTGCAATCTTGTTCAAATTGATTATAAGAATTTAAAGAAATGGATTAAATGATAGATATTTATTAATGGGGAGCAGGTGATCATTTCAGATGAGGAAGGAAATGCAAATAATGCCAGCACAGAACTAACAGAAAAGCAAGCTTTGCATAATCCAGCAAAAAATACCCACTACTGATTGATACAAAATATCTTAATATGCTGAAAACTTATTATGAAAAATGTTTTCTTTAGCCAACAGAAATTAAAGAGAGAATAGTGTTTTTAAATGTCTCTGTCACGTTAGAAAGAAAAAAATCAAATAAAAGGTGCCTGTTAAAGAAGTTCCTGACCACTTACTTCTCCGGAGGGCATTGCATTGACTGATATAAAACTCAAACTTTGCTTCAAGACAGTGATCATGATTTCCACAACAAAAAAAGTAATATACTAAAAAACTTGTCAGCATTATTTTCTAGCCAAATATACTAGCATGTACATAATAATAGGATCTTTGTACTGTAAAATTTTTCATTTGGAGTCCATTGGGGGATACAGCTTTATGGTGATTAGCAATCAAGGGTTATGCTGAAATACTGTTATAAAGAAACTGAAGAAAAGCCCTCCCATCGTATTCTGTGTCCCTCAATTACTTCAAGAAAAAGACTTACTGTGAGTACAAAATCTTATTTTCTCTATCGTTCATTGAGGGACAGAGCTTTATGGTAATGACTTAGCAACCAAGGGAAGTCTAAAAAAAGTCTTAACAGAGGGGAGGACACACTAAAACAACACAGACAGACAACTCAGCAAAATAAAGCCTTCCATGTACAATGGTAAATCTTGATTTAGGAGCTTAAACCAGCCCAACAAGGAAATACCTGAAGCAAGGCAAAAAAACAAGGGCTTTAAACAACGACTTGCAGAACATTTCAGTCTCTGACTTAATTTAGGTCAGCCAGGAGTAGATGGTTCAAGAAAGCACTTCTAACTTCTCTTCAGTAGCATTTTTAAAGGATGGAGCATCTTTGTTAGGTATAGTTAAAGCCTTTTTGGTGAGATATGATAGAGCTGACCTCGGGAGGAGGGTTACTGACAAAATCCTTCATTAAAGGATATTGCCTGGAACTGTTTAGGAATAAGGAATCATTTCTCTGGTTGCTACCAGACTTGAATCATGGATGAAGAGGAGAAACCGTGGTGGAATAAAACTGCTGACTGAAATTCAGCTGGCAGGGTCACCTGTTCCTTGTGGGAGGGGAGACTTTGTGTGTGACAATAGATCCCCTACACAATAAAAAATATTAGACATCTCAGTGTCAGAATCCACCTGGTAATGTGGTGGAGTATGTTTCAATCCCTTGCGATCAGGAGGAACAAAAAGTTGCTTTACCTGAAACATAAAGACCTGCCTAACTCAAGAAATTTCACCCTTAGTATGATAGGAGAATCATCTAAGGAAGGGAAGATTCGGACATAGTCACCGATACAAAAGGTTCTGACTGCATTATCAGATTTGCTAAAACCATATGTTCTGCAAATTCCCACTTTGAAATAAGGCAGCCTCTAAAATACTGCAACCTCCCGCTATATAGAAAAGTCCCATAGAATCAATTACATAATCCCAGGATGTAGAGCCATGTCAATCATAATATACGATGCCCATCAACCCACAAAAAGAAAGATAAAACAAGCCAACCTATGAACATGTCTGTTCCCAATGTTTACTCTTCATGAATGACCAGCAGGCAACAGAATATAAACAAAAGAATGAGATGGTATTCCAAGTGACATTACTGAACAAATGATATAGACATGGCCATATTGGTAAATGACATCATGAGGTATCTCCAAAAAAAACAAAAAACAAAACAACAACAATGTGATTCCCCCCCACCAAAAAAAAAACAACCATTAATACCAGACCCTTATCCTTGATGAGGGTCTGATATGGATTTTGGAGTGGAATACAATGCAAGAAAGTAAAACAAAGTGAGGGGTCCTCCCACTTATCAGAGTAGGTAGCCTGGCTGGCCAGGAAAAGGGGGGACCATACCAGGTCACATGCCCTCAACATGGGGAGGGTACCTTGCCTGTGGTGGTTCCCTAGCAAAGCACCTTGTCCCCATCATTTTCTGACTGGCAGATGAATAAGCCTAGCTATGTGTAACTGGTTGCTAGGATGTTGACAGCCACTGGCTTGCTAGCAACCAAAAACCCTCACTTGGAAGCTGTTAAATAGAGCTGCAGAAATAATAATGCTGCTAAATGTATGAGTTTCCAATACGCAAGGTTTCAAGCGTTGGAAACATACATCTGTTGGCTTGAGAAACCTTGGATTTTATGCATGTTATGCACTCTAAGTTTATTTGGCAGATGCAGAAAGCATTGAAGGCAAAGCATCATACAGCCAGGCAACTAATTGTATGTAAACAAAACAAAAAAGAACAAGACGAGTTAGCAAATGGTCGTTATCCCTTAGGATAAACAGGTTCCATGTCCCCAATATGGTTCAGTAAGCAAAAGAAAAAACATTGGACTTTGTGGGTATCACACCAACTTTTCCTTAAAAGAATACAATCTTTACTTATGCACATTTAAAATAGCATTAAAATACAGCTAAAAGTAGCATATTTCACCCTTATGTTGGTTAGGGTGATGGCTCCACACTACAGAGAAGAAAACTTGCAATACCCTAGTTATAGGCACAAAATAATCATCATCTGGTTAGCATATGCAACAGAGGGTGCCACCATCCATGCACATAATGCTTGAGAAGTTTTGCATTGTTATTCCACTTCTTCAGGAACAGAAGATTGTATTGCTACAAACAACATCAGCAGAGGAAGTTATCCCACTGGTGGTATCCCACAAGGATCAACCCAGACCCTCACCAGGTCTCACACGACACAAAGATATACAAGAAAAAAGGGGGGAGTAGTCCAATCTGTCCTGGTGAATACAGCTTCCCTTTGAGACAAACAACACCTGCTCATGCACAGCTATAAATATCCCCAAAGTTCCAATACATATATTAAGAAAGTAAGACGCACATTCATTAATAATCATCCAGAGCAATCTGGTGGTCTACCATCACAGGCACTTACATACAAGGACAGAGCTCAAAAGAGCCAATCCACAGAAATCTGTAACACTCCACCACCACAATCTCAAAAGAGAGATCAACTATGGAGGCTTACTTATTTTTTTCATTACCGAATCATTTTAATGTGCTGTTTATGTGAAGGAAACTGGTCTATAAAGCGGAACCTTTTCATTAGGGTAAAAAATGTCCCAGCAGTAGTATTGCCCCCTCATACCCCTAAATACTTACCGAGTCCTCACATTCTCTCTCTTTACACTATTCCCCCAAACTTTCCTCAGTTAAGACCACCATCATGATCACTTTTTGTCCCATTCCCCTACACTGCCAACATTTAGTTAAGATATTGCCTTCTTTACACTCTCCAGCTGAAATCTGCAAACTTTGTTAAATTAATCTAATTATATTTTCAAAAAGATTGAATGTTTTCGCTAACAGTTATCCCCATTATTAAGGCTGAACTCTAATGAACTCTAGTTTATTAAAAACTCTAACTTACATACATTCCTTAATTGCCACAAATGATATAAATCCACTTGTGTGCACAAAGTTCCTTTTACCAACCCGAGTATTTCCTTTTAAAGATAATGTTGATATTATCACTACACTATACCTAGCCTGTGCAGGCAGTAGAGCTGTGGGATGGACCCAGTACATCCTCCCACTGCAGGCTACCTGGAGAAAACTACAGGCAGGAGCCAGAACAAGACCAGTCATCCTGCACAAGAAGAAAGAGTAGTATTGACCGGTCTTTATTACAGGAAGCTCCTGCAAAGAGGCAAAGCTTCATACTGAATTACAGCACAGATGTGGAAGAAATACACATACCAAACTAAGATTCACGTACAGTAAGAATACACATGCCACTTGTATTTATACAATATGTTTTTAACTCAGAGTTCAGCTTAAAATCTATAAGAGTTTTTTTTTTAGCAAGTCTAGATAAATGAAATTATACCATTACTAAAAAAGCTGCAATTACTATATTTCCAGGATAATATAGTATGAAATGCTCCAACTTTGAATGGTCTAGTAAAATATCCAATGTGTTGTCTTGGTTGGGAATTGAACAGCATGCAAAAAGTCAGCATTATATGAATGCTGCTGAAAATAACAACTCAACCACTGTGAAATCTGTTTTCCAGATAAAGTCAGTATCTTTGGTGTATCTTGGCAGTAGCTGAATACAGTTTAATCCACAACTTCCCGTCTATGTTGCCAGAGTCTCCAAGGAAAATGACCTTATTTAACCAGCTGTGCAAGACATTTACCTTAAAGTGAAATTCAAAACTGTAAGGCCTAAGTGCTAGACAGGAGTCTGAAATAGCACTAGTGTTATGTTTTGTAGGAAACGCAAAGGTTAAGTTGAAGACATAATCTCTTGGGGACAGGAATAAAAACAGATATTTGTATGTTCTGTTTTGTTCAGTATAGTAAGTTGAAACTACAGGGTTTACATAAACTAAAAGAAAAAAAAAAAACTTAAACAAACTTGTAGCCTAAATGTTGGGTCTGAGAATGATGAAATGGTTTTCAGATTAGTTTCCCTTGATTAACAGCTGTGTCTGTTGCAGACATATATTTGACTGCTACTCTTGAGTAGATTGGTCAAGGTGGGCTCTAACGCATAATATAGATGTCTTAGTATAGATTTTGTGTTTCAGTACTGTCTGGGGGCAAGGCTTAAATGCTGGGTCACCGAAATGTGAAATACAAAATAAACTTCCTAGTAACCCCTTCCCAAGTGAATGAACTGGAGTGCTTATTTTAGATTATACAGGAATTATACTATACCATAGTAAGGAGGTAATTCAAAATGTTTCATCACAATCTTCTCATTTATGGCTATTGAGAATAAGGAAACTTCCTTTAGAACTAAATGGTTCCTCTGGTCTTTTTGGATCATTATACATTACATCTTAGCCATGCACCATCAAACCTGCCTTGTCATCTGTTTGTCAAACGTTTGCTATTGTTTTGTCAGAATGTCAAGAATTGCTATTATCTGATCTGAATGTACACTATTATTATTGAATCGAAGTCTGTGTTACTGGTAACTTTTAAATGTAAAAATTATTTGCATGGAAAATACCTTCAACACACATATATTCTAATCAGCTATACATATTTTAATGAATTATTCTATTTATTTTACCAATAATTAAGTTTATTTAACATACTGTTAAATTTTACATTCATCATATTATCACTTTCATATCATGTAACTTGTATAACTGTTTTCATTTTAGGTTAAAATCCAGTCAACTAATACTGAATCAATTTATTTAGTAATGTAGGATTTATGGTTTCTTTACAAAGAACTCTAATTTGAGCAACTTTTACATGCAATCAAGCACCCTCCACATCACAATTATAACACCCATCCATGCTCATAAGCAAATTTCAAGAAGGAAAAAAAAATATGTCTAATACCTCAAATGTAAAGAGCTTCAGATACTCTGACACTAAGATACCTGCTATCTTACTCAGTAAGAGGGTACTAAAAGCAATGCAAAGATAAAAATGCAGCAAGCCATAGCACCCATTCAGATTTCAGATTACTACAATCAGCTTTATTTTATAGACGATTGCATGCTATGAATTGCTAAACTATGCAAACCTAATTGCCCTTTCTTTTTTTAATTAGCCTAATGGTTCCATACTGCATGATGCAAAGCAACAAATGTATGTCCCAGATAAAGTGATAGGAATAACATAATCTGTACATTTCCCACACAGTGCATACTAGCAAATCTAAAACTAACCAATCAATCTCCTTTAGATCTACAATCAATTATTAATAAAAAATTAGATATTCACTTAATATTACATAGTTTTGGTAATTGTAAAGGATATTGTACAGAGATTGCACAATCTGATTGTATATTGTATGGCCATCCTAAAACAAAAAGTGTATGTGCTGCTGTTACCAACTCTTCCACTGTGCACATTTATTAATGTTTTGATTATATGTTGGAACTGAATTTTGGGATTAAAACACTGAATGTCATTGTTTAATATGTGAAGCCCTAACGGCATAATTTTACACATTACTATTCAATTTAGAAAACGCAATCTTAATATTGTTTTGATAGAGGTTGGAACACTTGCTGTCAGTATGAGTCCAATGGTGTAGATCATGTTTGGCGCTTTTATTCTGGACTCTTATCTTACATGCTCTGTTTTATATAATTTGTCATTACAGAAGGAAAGTTCAGTTAAGGTAATGGCATCTATCATCAACTGCTCTGAACTGACTAAAATACAAAAAGGGTACAGTGCTGCCACAACCACTGTAACTAAAGATCACTTTATTTTTACAGTATGCAACTGGCTTTATTTGATTAGTTTTATAATGATCTTTAAAACGTTTAGTAGCATTAACAGCAAAGTTTTAACTGTAATTGTGGACAGGAGCTTTTAAGCATTCTTGCACATTTTTCAAAATTCCTACATTCTGATGTTTTTGCTATCATGTTCTTACAAAAGGCCCTTTATATGTAAACTACTAGAAGAGGTATCATTATAATATATTATAAGTGGTATCATTATAATATATTTTTGCTAAATACTGTATAAACATTTGGCATGAAATTCTTCAAGTATGAAAGACTAAAGTGAGCATCTACTGAACCATAATTCCAAAGTTGAGAAATTAATTTGATTAACCTTTCATTTGAGGGTGCCTTTATATCTTCAAGTCCATTGCCACTTGGAAGAGCCAGTAGCATAACATCAGTGATCTTTTAGTTGACTGTGAGGGTGGCATTCTAACCCTTACTGTAAGGGGGGCATTCTTCGTATTGACCACCAATGTAAGGGGCATTTTCCTAATGACACCTAAGGGACTAATCTTAACAGGGGTTCCTTGAGACCCAAAAATTATTTTGAGAGTTCCTCTGGGATAAAAAGGTTGAGAAAGTCTGGCCTAGAGCAACAGGGCTTCAAAGGACAATGCCTGTACATCCTCAATGGGAAACAAGCTCCATTTATTACCTGCCATGCTACATTGTTCTTCATGACCAACTTTTTAACTCCCCCCACCCCAATAAAACACTGAAACCCACCTGTGATGGACTGCCTGCTATTAAACCACTTCCCGTCCGGCCCATGTACATAAACGGCCGGACGGGTGCAGTGCAGGAGCGGGGTTCCGTTCATAAACGGCGCCCACATTTTCAGGTTGTGCACGCTCCCTCGGGAGCGTGTGGCACAACAATCTGGTGCCCACTGTGTCCTCCGGACACAGCGGAACATCGATCGCTGTACAGGACCTCTGTGTGAGGTCCTGATCATGTGATCACTGATTGGCCAATCAGTAATCACATGAATAGTAGTAAGCAAGATGTCACTTCTGACATCATTGCTTACTAGTAGTGAAATCTGTGAATGATCACAGAGGTCACATGGTACAAGGCTATTTACAACAGCCTTGTACCATGTGACAAGCTGTGACCAATCACAGCTCTCACAGTATTTCCCAATGGCTGCAAGAACTGTTAAAAACCCTGTTTAACAATTCATGTTAAATACAGAGGGTTTCGTTGAACACATTTGCAAATATACGTGGAAGCCATAGTGCCTATGCCAAGGCTCCTCTCTATATTGGGGTCCTAACTCATATATAGCAGTGGATAAATCAAGGGCAGATTTTCTTGGAAGGAGTGCACTCCTCCTTAAAGGCACAGGAACACATTGGATGCCCAGCAAGAGTACAATGTGCACCTTACTGCAAAGGCTATTTATAAATTGGTGTGGCTGCCATCTTTTTGTACAGCTTGTTCATATTGGTGATAGTTTACCAAGAACCAGAATATATTTGCTGGTATGGTATTTGCAAGTTTCTATTGAGATCCCAACTAGTATTAGGTTACATTCACACGCCTGTGTACCAAAGGAAACAAGTATTTTTGCTTTGTGTACTTGGACACAAGATTCATTTCCCTGTTACACAGGAACTGAAACTATTCCGTAAGTGATAACAAGGATAGGAATTATTTGCTGTAGAAATTTTGCTTTTGTTTGATGCTGCAAATGATACAACTGGCAGGCTGCAGCCATCGTGAAACCTAATCTGCTATGAGGACTCAAAATTTCCCCTAATGAAGGCTATTTAACCAAAAAAACAGAAAAAAAAAGATTATAAAGCATAGCAAACAATCTTTGCCCTTTTTTTGTATCTTTTCAAAATTGCTGACTGGCTTGTTCCCTCATCACTACCAAGTAGCTGTGGGATTGTTTCCTTTGACATGAAACCCGTATCAGAGACTTTACTACAGACCTTTTCACTTACAGACATTATTATAATTATGAACATATAAACTGAGCAATTTATGTGCAATCACTGTACATAAAATAGCATCTGGTAATATTAAAATATAAAGCATGGCATGGAAGAGAACTTCAACATTTGCTTATCAAAAAAATGGTAACTAGCTAAACAACGTATTGATAACTATCATGTCAACACTATTGAGCTCTTTCCTTTATGTACCAACTATTTAAACATCACCTTATACCTGAAGTTTTACATTTAAAGACAATGGGCACATTCTTCATTAAAAAAAAAAATCCATTATAACAAAAAAAACGCGTGTAGCAAAATGTACTGCGAAAAGCACTGCAAAATGGACAAAAAGAAAACTGCATAGGTTTGAACTAAGTCAGTCTGTAACAGCTGCAGGCGGATATATTATATCATATCAGTTAATTGTACAACAATTTTTTGTTTTTGGAAGTTACTCTTGTTTGTTGTATAACGATAAGTTATTCATATTTTTCAGCATAAAAAAAAAAACAACAAACTTGTAAGAAAAAATGAAATTTTTTAAAAAAGTTAATGGTCTGGTGCTAAATCCATTCAGAGTTAGATTTTGAAATTAATTAGGCATGATGAAATACTTCTAATGTTGGCAAACCAAATGTCTTCATCATGTGCGATCCTGAAATCTATGCAAAGCTAAAGTTGAAGTAAAGCTAAGATTGATTTTTAGAACGATCAAAGCCAAAGTTCCTTACAGACAAATCTAAAACAGACTTTTCCATATCAATACAAAGAATTGCTTAGCTCGTGGAAAAGAATTACTGCCAAAAATTAAGTGCATAGTTAGGGGGTATTCATTCATTCAAGACACCGAGTACAGGCGAAAATCTGGTCTGCTAAATTCAGGAAAAAATGCATCTAGCTAGTAAACATTTGTAAGTCAAATATATACTATATTGCCAAAACTATTGGGACACCCCACCAAATCATTGGATTTAGGTGTTCCAATCACCTCCATGGCCACAGGTGTATAAAATCAAGCACCTAGGCATGTAGACTGCTTCTACAAACATTTGTGAAAGAATGGGTCCCTCTCAGGAGCTCAGTGAAATCATGCATGGTACTGTGATAGGTTGCCACCTGTGCAATAAGTCTATCCGTGACATTTCCTTACTACTAAATATTCCACGGTCAACTGTTAGTGGTATTTTAACAAAGTGGAAGCAACTGGGAACAAAAGCAACTCGGCCACGAAATGGTAGGCCACGTAAAATGACAGAGCGGGGTCAGTGCATTCTGAAGCGCAGATGTCGTCAACTGTCTGCAGAGTCAATAGCTAAAGACCTCCAAATTTGTTTGGCCTTCAGATTAGCACAACAACAGTGCATAGAGAGCTTCATGGAATGGGTTTCCATGGCCGAGCAGCTGCATCCAAGCCTTGCGTCACCATGTGCAATGCAAAGTGTCGGATGCAGTGGTGTAACGCATTTTACGTCTATAATAGCCCTCAGGTATTACAATTCAGCAGCTATACCAAAAAAGAAGTTGACAGCCTACAAACCCTTTACAAAGAAAATATATAATATTATCACACAGAAATCAAGCTGTGTTCCCTTGAAGACTGTTTATTGAACACAGATATCAACTAGTAAAATTCCATGGTATCTTAATACTCTATTAAAACCCATGAACCCACCTAACACCTTAAAATGTGAACTGCTCTCCTAATATCAATGATTGGCAGGACTATCACCAAAATATCTCACAAGCATATAGTAGACAGCTGGCATAGCTGTAAAGGATGTGTGCATGGCCCAGAAAACAAAAAATACTGGGACAGGTCACATCCTTAAATACAAAAACTGTATATTACAGAAAGAAACTGTATATTAGAGAGAAAAACCCCAAAATGTGTAAGAAGCTTCAAATGCAAACTTTCAGCTGAGTTCTAGTGCTATCACAAAGGTTGATCATCATGACACAGCCCCCAGCATCTCATACTGAAAGGATAAATAATCCAAGGCCCTTTTTTGAAGGACTAAAGATACATGTAGTTACACTGTTAAAAATCCTCACCTCTAATGAGTGGAAAAATGGGAATTTGTTCTTGGCAACATGACCTATGTGTGGATGAGGGATAGGTTATCATTCTCAAATGAGTAGATGCACACAAAAAATGACAGGTAATTGGAGTGTCCATGCATATCATCCATCAGGAGAAAGGACAGTATGCTCATCTATATACCGGAAGACATATCCCAAACAGGGAATAGTCCTCAATGATATATCATGTAGAATATAAGAACCAATCTTTACTTAGCAGCAGCAGCAGTTATGGTTACGATGTTAAAAATCCCTGTAGCCATAAGCACAGTATAACTTGACAGCAATAGGAATGAAGTGTGCACCAGCAAACTTTGGATATGACACTTTGTTGGTGTACCTGTCCAAGATTCTCACTCGGCACAGGGACATCGATGATGTCCTCTGAACAAGGACAGATGAGGAAGTAGTTGATTTTGTGGAATTGTTGGAGAAAAAAACTTTTAAAGTGATTCTAAAGGATTGATGTTTTTCTAAAGGACACATCATAGTTACCTGCTCTGTGCAATAATTTTGCACACAGCAGCCCCAATACTCCTCTGTTCAGGTCTGCTGCAGGCACTTCTGGTCCCTCTCCTTCGCCAAGTGCCCCCAGAGCAAGCACCTTGCTCAGGGGGCACTCGTGCGTGCTCACTCCTGAGCCACCTCTGTGTGTCTATGGGACACACAGAGTGCAGTTTAGCCCCACCCCTGCTTCCTCCTCTCTGGCTGTGATTGACAGCAGTGAGAGCCAATGGCTCCTGCTGCTGTGTCTCAACCAACGAGGAGTGAGAGACCCAGACCCAGAGACCCAACTGTACACAGAAGGTTTTTTACCTTCCTGCATAGAATGCAGGAAGGTAAAAAAACTTTCAGCCTTTTGAACCACTTTAACTTGAAATTCAGCAGTACATGTGATGTCAGAATAGTTAAGTTTTTTGATGCTATACTTTGATAAAAAAGTGTTCCTTTAATTTTTTTGAGCAGTGTATATACAGTTTTTGCATGCCAAGAACAATTTTAAGCTAGGTTGACACTGCTGCAATCCAATTTTGATCTGATCTTCAGTGTGATTAAGTATTGCAACTTGGATGTGCTTTTGTATATTTTATATGGCCAAAATCACACTGGAAGTAGTACAGGAACTTTTTCCAAAATTGCACTATGCTGAGTTGCATTGATATGAACAGGCACTATTGAAAACAATGTGATTTCCATTGACATGCAATTCTGTGCAACTCAAGTAACAACTGAAATCGCACTAGTGTGAACGTAATTTTAGTGAATTTTTAATACAAATCTTTTCCATAAACATTTGTGCAAGCATCTTCTGACATCTTCTTGAGGCCCTCTGCTTTCAAAGAATATGTGGCTTTGCGGCTTTATGTTAAATCTTTAAGATTATAAAGGCCTACTAGAAGTCTGCTAGCTGGGAATGTATTGTAAGTGTGGGAAATCCAGTATATGCTTGCGATTTTCATGGCGGCTATACAAAGTACAAATCTTTAGCAACTATTGCATACTCAACTATAAATTACAAAAGGTGTTTTTAACAAGACACTTCTGAACCGAAAGACAGGGGGCATGCAAGTGAATCTCTGAGTTGCCTAACCACTTCTCGTCCGGCCCATGTACATAAACGGCCGGACGGGAGCAGTGCAGGAGCGGTTGGCCGTTTATAAACTGCCTCCACATTCATTGCCTGTGCACGCTCCCTGGGAGCACGCAGCACCACGATCTGATTTACGGAACACCGATTGCTGTACGGGACCTCTGTGTGAGGTCACAATTCATGTAATCCCTGATTGGCCAATCAGTGATCACAGGAACATTAGTAAACAAGATGTCACTTCCTGACATCATTGCTTACTACTTGTGAAATCTGTGAATGATCACAGAGGTCACATGGTACAAGGCTATTCACAACAGCCTTGTACCATGTGACAAGCTGTGACCAATCACAGCTCTCACAGTATTTCTCAATGGCTACAGGAATGCAGCCAGAGAGAAGAAGAAATGATTGCTTTTACAGCCTGTATGGGAGTAAAAGCAATCAGCGTAAAAAAAGAAAAGAAAAAAATCTTAATCACCCCCCACAAGTAGTACAGTGTCACGATTGTGACACTGTACTGCTAAGGTGGCGGTATGTTAAAAAAAAAACATAAATAAAAAAAAAATAAAATAAAAATGTAAATAAAAATTTTAGAAAAATTATAATTTTTGGGTATAAACTAATTTGCGTTTTTTTTTTTAAAATGACAGATAATTAAATTTTGGCCAAGATTTGGGGAATGGAGTGGTAGGAAGAGTGGAGGAGGTCGGCAATTAGCAGGAGGTGAGGTAGGCTTCCCTACCTTCCCTACCTGAAGTGAATAAAGCTGTCCTTCAAGCATGTCCAAAATAAATAAATAAATAAAGCAAGGGCCCCAACCCTCTTACAGAGTCATCTCCTCATGCAGCATCATGCAGCTTTTTTTAGGTTTAACCCAGCAGAAAATGCTGTCTGTTCACTGTTGTAATGGCATCATTTTCTGCGAAGGATATGGGTCACCTGGATTGGCTAGTTATGCACTTTGAGACCTTTCCCTTCAAATAACTCTATAGGGTTGGAATGCCCGGTAGCAGGACTCTCCCCACTCCACTTAAAGGGGAGGTCAGGGTCACTTGAAGATGTTATCTGGACTCCAGTAGTAATTTCAACATACTAAACAGGTATATTAAAAAAAAAAAACAATAAGGACTGCAGAGGGTCAGTGGAAACCTTAAAGCCTAAATTACTCAAACGTATTTGAACAGGATTCTCTGGATCATTGAACCTGAAATCAAAGTGTAGAGATGGACTTGATGTTTCAGATGACATGCTGCGTAACACTGATTGCATGTTTTGATTGCACAGAAACAACAGCAAAAATCTTACTAGTCGTAACTAGCTTGTGTATACGTGAATTGTCATTTTTATATAAATAAATATGATCAAACCCTTAAGATTGAATGTTTTACATTATGTAAATTATTTGAAACTTCGAATCAACATTCTTCGATGTTAAAAAAAAAAAAGTTCAGAGGGGGGTCATCTGACCAAAGGTGTGAGATTCAAATGGTTCATTCACTTTTATTTAGGCCTCGTGCACACTGGATGCTTTTTCGGCTGCTCCTAGGGACGTCTGGTGTTTTTTTTTCCTGCCTCTAAATACCCCTGCATGTTAGTCTATGTGTCCATACATAGGCTTTTAGAGGAGTTTAGAGGTAGGGTATTTAGTGGCTGAAAAAACCCCAATGCTAGTGTGTCCAGGAGCAGCAGTGTTTTGGCAGAAAAAATGCTTGATGCATGTACACACCTCTAAACGTGCATTAACCGCATCTGCACTGCCCTATATCAGAAATACTGCAACAGGGAGGCACGGGTGCGCAAAATCACGCACATATACATGATTTTGCAGTTCCATTCGGGGCCTCAGCTGTCAATCACTGGGTCCCAGCCGGCGATTACCTGCCAGCACCCGGCAATCTCCGAGGATTTTCGACAGAGGAGAGACCTGTATGTAAACAATACAGATCTCTCCAATGTCAGCTCCTGCACATTGCTTTGTATGGCTCTGCATAGCAGAGCCATACAAAGCAGTGTGCTTACAGTGAAACACACACACAGCCCACATAGAAAACAGCTTACAGTTAACCCTTTGATCGCCCCGCATGTTAACCCCTTCCTGCCCAGTGTCATTAGTATAGTGTCAGTAATTTTTATTAGCACTGATCACGGTATTGGTGTCACTGGGGGTGTCAGTGACACCAAGTCAGTTCCAACCCACTGTCAGAATGCCCGCCACAGTCCCGCTATAAGTCATTGATCGCCGCCATTACTAGTAAAAAAAGAAAAAATTCCAGTATATATACCGCCATTTGTAAACGCTATAACTTTCACGTAAACCAATTAATGTAAACGTATTGGGATTTTTTTTTAATAAAGACATGTAGCAGGATACATTTTGGCCTACATTTATGACGAAATTTGATTCTTTCAATTTTTTTACTGGAGCAAAAAGTCAAAAATACAGGCGATCAAATACCACCAAAACAAAGCTTCATTTGTGGGGAAAAAAGGACATAAATTTCATTTGGGTGCACAATTGTCAGTTAAAGTAACGCAGCACCGTATCATAAAAAGTGGCTTGGTCAGGAAGGGGGGGGGGGGGGGTAAATCCTCTGGAGGGTAAGTGGTTAGTGAAGCGTGTGAGCGTAAATTCATTTCAATGGCATAAATAAACTAGAAGAGCTCCAATTCCTTTGGGAAATTGTGTGAAGTATTCTTGCCTCCACCAGTAGTCTACAACTGGAGTGGGTGGAGCAACTGGGTGGAGTGGCTTGAGTAACTGTTGTGTGGTTGGAGTGGCTGGAGTAACTGTGAAAAGGTTTTGTCAGCTCCCACTCTAGTTCTGAACATTCCGCCATTCATTCCTATGGGACCAATTTCACCACAAAAAAATGTCGATATTTCGGGAACCATTCGGCGAAATGTTCCACAAAGTAATAGCACACCAATCGGGAACAATCCGCACGTTTCGGTATATTACTGTATATGTAGTGTAAAAACTGTGGGAGGAGTTAGGGTGGTAAATTTGGCTATAATAATAAGAATATATATGTGAGATAACAGTAAGTGGTCTTGCCATGCAAGAACACCGAATTATTATTTTGGCCAATTAAATTAATTGACACCCAAACACTTGGCACAGCTAACCGCGCCTAAACGTATTAAATGCAATTACAAGCATCAAGCAAAGTGCCTCTGCCCAGAGGAAAGGCATCTAGGAGAGATAGAAAAATGTCCAGTGTGCATGAGGCCTTAGTGTGTTTTGGCATTAAGTGACTTATTTGGAACAATTTGTCTACTCTTATCTGTTTCATAAATGCACAGAATCAATCATAATTAGCTATTTAAATATATCTATTAAACATTTGTCTCAAAGTGGAATTACAAATGCATCCAAATTACATCCAAATCCTAGCTTAGAAGTGTAAGGTGATGTATAGGGCTGAATGTTTCTAAATGCACAAACTACAACTGGCTATTAATATTTTAAGAAATAACAGTGTTGAATGTTGATACAGGGATTATCTGGTTGCCTTTGATGATCTGGAAGGATTTATTTTTCCTTTTAAAGAAAATTGGATGCTTTACAAAGTTTTTTTTTGTGTTCCTTTAGATAATTGGATTAAGGTTTCTAAGGATGCAAGTTGCTGTTTATTTAACTTTTTTTAAGCATGTGATATAGTAAAGATAGTTGCTTGGGGCTTGGAGACTGACAGATATTTTCAGCTTTACATAGGACACCTTTCTAACCTCAACGTGTAATCCTGCAACAGACACAATTACCAACTGAAATATAAAAAACCTAACCCCTTGATTTCCAAGTGCCATTAAAAATGGCGCCAGGACTCAGCAGCAAAACATATCATTCTATGCAGTTTTTACCATGCAATCACTACGTTTGTTTGCAAAGGTTACACTTTTGATGATGGCTGTGCATATTATTTTTTTTCTTCTTGTTACCAGTGAATTGCAAATGTAAAATGGAGTCATAATCAGGTTATACATTTTGCCAAACACCTTTGGGGGTCTATCATTCTAAATACAGAATTTTTGGGATAGTTTCTGCGGTCCTGCCATCTAAGCCACTGCAAATACAGTACGGTGCCATAAAACACACATGGCAATTTTAAGCCATTGACAGTCAGCATATGCTCCTTTATTTCTAGGTCCTGCCCTGATCCCAAGAAGCACATAAAGTATACTTATACAGTCTCCCCATGCATAATAGAAGCAGTGAGGAGTATGTTATATTACATCTCCAACTTAAATATATAATAAATGGAAGAAGCCCCCAGAAAGAGGTGCATAATTAGAAAGCAGTAAATGTGACATTCTGCAAAAATGAATTTTCCTGCAGAATTTGTTTCATATAGGCCTCATTTACATGGGGCGTACTATAGCGTATGTCCATACAAAGCTGTGCTTGCCTGCACAGGTGTTCTGTGCATCCACATGCAGTCAATCTCAATTATGTTAAATGGATGCAGCAGCTGCACAGACACAGCCACTGCATCCCAATTTCATATCCATGCAGCCACACCTACAGTTGTGTCCAAAATTATTCAACCCCCATGCTGTAAAGGGGTTTTAGGGACCAGTTTTGACATTTGCTTTTGATATTCAGAATCAAATCCTACAAGGACGTTGTAACTACCCAAATGCAACTAAAATGACATAATTGTTTATGTAATACAGTAGTAAATGGTTCTTATGTGGTTTCTTCATTGCCACAATTATTCAACCCCTTAAAGACTACCACTCTGAAGAACAGAGGTTCATACAGGTGCTTTCCATCAGGTATTGAAAACACCTGTGGATGTCACCGAGCAGCAATCAAGCATAATAAGCACCAATTAGGCAGCTTTTAAAATGACTGTGATACTCAGCTCCTTCTAGACATTTACTGGTGTGGTTACAAACATGGTGAAGGCAAGAGAATGGTCCAGGAAGACAAGAGAAGAGGTGATTTCTCTTCACAGGAAGGGCAATGGCTATAAGAAGATTGCAAAGATGTTAAACATACCAAGAGACACCTTAGGAAGCATCATTCGCAAATTCAAGGCAAAGGGCACTGTTGAAACGCTACCTGGTCGTGTGCAGAAAGAAGATGCTGACTTCGACTGCTGTGCGCTACCTGAAGCGTAGAGTGGAGAGAAGTCCCCGTGTGACTGCTGAGGAACTGAGAAAAGATTTGTCAGATGTGGGTACAGAAGTTTCAGCCCAGACAATAAGACGCACACTGCGTAATGAAGGTGTTCGTGCCAGAACTCCCAGGCGTACCCCCTTGCTGTCTCCAAAGAATAAGAAGAGTCGACTGCAGTATGCCAAAAGCCATGTGGACAAACCACAAAAGTTGTGGGAT